AGAATTATGGATGTAAATTTGAAAGTTTATGACACATGATAATACATAAAAATTGTATGTTGTAGATGTAAATTTTTCAAAAATTTGTTCTAAAATAATTTAGCTTTTTATGATTTATAACTTAAGTATAATTATTATTTATTTACTAGATAAAATATATTCTAAAATTTATTTTAGATGAAATTAGTTTTATAATATTAAAATATAATTTATATCTTTTTTTTGTTAGATTCATGCAAATTTTCAAACAAAAAAATTTCTGGATTGTTTCTCCTTTCCAAAATTTAATTTGACTTCAATTATCTCATAACTCGTGTGTTCTTTTAACAAACATTTGATAATTTTTACATTACTATCATCTTTTATTTAATTAATGTTTCGCTTGAAGTTATGTATTATGATAAATAGATTTAGAGAAGTACCCTAAGGTCATAAAGAGGTTCAAACTTATAAGAGCAACTTCAAACATAGTCGACACGCCAAAACCTAAATATTAATTAGCATGATATTATTCATAGGTATGACAGAAACCCTCCTCCCAAGTTTAAAATGTTGAGATTATCTAGAGAACCTACTAAATTCAGTCACTTTCACTTGGCTCGCTCTAGTAGGCCTTCTCCAATCGACCCTATCTAGTCGACCTCTCCAGTCGGCCCACTCCAACCGGCTCTCTCCAGTCAGTCACCTCCACTCAACCCCCTCCAGTAATGATAGATATAAAATAATGTCACATTATCCTGTGAATGTAATTATTTCTTATGCATATTTTATAATTAAATACCTCTATATAAAGAGAGAAGAGTGAATGTAAATGATGACCGTTTTTTCCTCCTCCATGGGAGAGCTATTAGAAGAGAAATAACTCTTCCCCCTCTCTCTCTCTCTCTCTCTCTCTCTCTCTCTCTCTCTCTCTCTCTCTCTCTCTCTCTCTCTCATGTTGTATCCATTGAGTGTGATTCATGGACAAATATGGGTCAAACATCCTAAAAAGCACGGTGAGCATTGATTATGCACAAATAAGAAGCAAAGCAACTCTAGGAGAAGAACTGTGCCATAGAGAAGTAACTAGCAATATATAATACATTAAAGAACTTGTTTGAGAGGATAGTGGAACTCATTCATCGGCTACCTGTTCTCGGCCTCCTCCATTCAAATTCATCCACTCGGTCAGCCCGCTCGTTCTCTTCCACTCAGACGCTTGTACTTGGCAACTTGCATTGAGCTAAAAAAATTTTCTCCTAAGAAATTTCTCCCAAAAACATCTTCAGGAAAAATAGTTTGTTCAATGGAAGATAAGTCGCGAACGATTGTAGTCAAGCAACAAAGAAAACTCTAACAAGGAAAAACTTTGAGAACCCTCTTTCTTATTTTTGTTAAGAACCCCGGGTAGATGAATAGTTGACACATAGAGGGAAGCATCGCCGATTTTTACTTAATACAACTTTTTTAACTTATATTTAGAGGGAATAACACTTCTAATAAATTCATTTTTTAGACCAGATAAACATGCACTTGTCTTATAAAGATGAATAATGTTAGTTACATATTGATCATTTTATAATTCTCTTCACATATGTCTTTCAAAGAGATAAGAGAACTGGTGAATTTATATGTATATGAAAAATCCTTCTTCAAGGTTTAAGAGAGCTCAACCACTTGTCACTCAACCTTTAATCAGCCCTCTCCAGTCGGCCCTCCTCAGCTGCACCTCTCCACTCGACTCTCTCTAGTCGGCCCTCTCCAAATAACCCTCTCCACTTGAACTCCTCAAGTCAGCACTATTTATTTTCATTTCTTCACTAAGCCTAAAATAAATATGATCAGACAAAATGAATAGGTGATTGACATAAAATATGTTACCTACAGTAGGTTATCATTTGAATATAATTATTACTTTGGTCAATTTTATAATAAATTTCTCTATAAAAAGAGGGAAGTGTGAATGTAAATGTTGACCTCACTATTGGTTGAGGTCTAGTCTTTCTTCCTTAGAAGCCTAGGATCTAGCTATAGGACTTTCCTGTTAACTATTCCTAGATGACTAATGATGGAACCCTCACTAATAGAAATTCTAAAACTCTTTTTGGCTCGTCTTGAAGTTCCACATGTTGGTTTTAACCTCTAGCACTTAATAACTGGGACCAATACGGGGGAGCTCAAGAGGAGTCCCAATAGGACTGTTTGTCCTTTGGGTTAGCCCTGGGTTGTGTGGTCTTGGTCAGTCTTGCACACACACACTTGAACTTGCACTCGCAACCTAAACCCTAACCCAAACATGCCTAGCTTGATCTCTTACTCTATTGGAAACTCATGTGGATGGTCCCCTAAACCCTTAGCCCTGGGCTAAGGTTTGGCTATGACCAACACATGGAGGATCCATAATGGAAGTTCCCTTGGTCTCATGGCTCAAATAGGGTAAGCTCATGATTAACATCCTTAATCAATCCCAATTTTTTCAAATTCCCAATTTTGACCCTTCTTAGCTCCAAACTTCACCAAATTACCAAATTGCCCCTAAACCCTAGATTTTCAAAAAAATTCCCAAAATTACCCAAATTCTCAAAATCTCTTCAAAAATCATTTCAAATCATTCAAAATCACCCAAATTGACCAAAATACCTCAAAATTTTCAAAATTCCCAAAATACCCCCAAAATCCCCAAAATTACCAAAATGCCCTTCATACCCCAAAAATTCCAAAATTCCCCAAAAACTCCAAAATTACTCCAAATGTCCCAAAAATCAATTTGAATCACTCCATTGAGTCTAATTTAACCAAATTGACCCATTTTGACCAAAATCCTCAAATTGCCCCTAAATGTTTAAATTCTTCAATTCACCTTCAATTTCCACTAGATTGACTTCAATCTCACCCAATTTCAATTTTAAACTCAAATTCATCAAATTAAATCAAATTCATCAAAACTCAAATTCATCAAATTAAATCCCAATTGAGACCAAAACCAAGTCCAATTGAACCCATCTCAAGCCCAATTTCAATCCCAATCTCAAAATCCCCAAAATTGCACAAGTTCAAATCTCCCAAATTGAACCTCATGACTCCAAAATTTCTAGAAAATTGATATCCAAAACTCTACATTAAAAACCCTTGGACCAATTTGAACTATCAATTGAGCCTAACCTAGATCCTAGCCCAATCCAAACCCAAAGCTAGGCCAAGTTCCCCAAAATTGATCATGAACCAAATTCCATTAAATTGAACCCCGAAATTAATTCAAACTCACTCAATTGGTATCCAAAACTTCTCATGACAATCATCAAAGCCAAATTGATCACTCATAGCCCAAACCCAACCCGGACCCAAGTTGAACCAAAACCCAAATTTTGGACCCCAAACACCAAATTTAACCATATCAACCCAAATTGACTAACTCAAACTCACCATAGCCAACATTTGGACCCTAGGAACCAACCTAGATCCACCTAGCCCAACCTATATGAGCCATGGACCAAGGATATTAGGGGATTTCATCCCATTTTGGGCTAAATCAAAGATATCTTTGTCACCAGTCATCCCCAAGCCATCATATTCATCATTAATCTTCCTCTGGCTCACCTGACCCCCTAGCCACCAGCTCAAGCCTGGCCAGCCAGGCTACTTGTCGGAGAACCCTAAAAATGAGAGCCACCCCATCTTAAACCAAACCCATTACACCCATCTAATGTGTTCAGCTCCAACTGGTCATTAACGCCGCTCAACCCTCCACAAAAGCAGTCGATTGCACCTGAATTGAAGTTCAGCCAGCCACCTAAGCCCCTTTATTTAAGCATCACCACTCCACAGCCAATTAAAGAGAAGACACAAAACATAGAAGAAACTCTATCAAATTGCTCCCAGAGAATCTCCTAGCCTTCCTAAGCTCAACCCAGACATTTTCCAGCCACCCCAATCGCTGTCTGAGCTCAATTTCAGAGCTCAAAGACTTGCCAGAAACAACACACCTCACCACACTCCATCAAACCTCAAATTAATCATTCCCTGAGCTTCACCCGAGATAGAGAAAAAGTTTTCCACTGAAATCCCCATCTCCTTGCATGTCTACACCAGACTTTCTCCTCAGCCTTCCCACCTGTCGGAAGAACTCTTGCACTGACAATTCACCGGAGCCCAACAACACTTCCAAGAGGTTTGCCAAGTTCCAACTAAGCTTCTGCAAGCTTTTGATTGAGGCCACACCTCTCAGGCAAAGGTATTGGATTCTTCTACCCAAATCGAGCTCAATTTGTTCTTTTATGAAGAAAAGTTTAATTTCATAGTTGATAAACCGTATAAATATGTTTGTCAAGACTAGATGAAGGCGTAGGAATAAACCCAAAGTGATTTGGTTGAGTCTAGGCAGAGATCTTCAGGTTTTATGTTGGACGATTCCCGGGTTAGGTCAGTTGGGGACGATGACCCACAACCGTTGGATCACGCGTTTATTGGATAGACGCTTCAGATCAAGCCGGACG